GTTCATCCAGCTCTACACCTTGTTATCTCAGATTCTCCAGGATCTGCAGTTCCTACTATCTCTGAAACAATTTTAACCCCACTGTGAAGCCTCTTCTAAGGATGCCTACCCTGAAGAAGTTACCCTCCTCCCTCTGGAACAACCTCAGTGGATTTCCCTCCCACTGCAACTCTCTCGTAATCTCTTCGGCCCATTTCTGAAGAAGGGTCTAGGCCCGAAACGTCAGCCTTCCTGCTCCTCTGATGCTGCTTGGCCTGCTGTGTTCATCCAGCTCTACACCTTGTTATCTCAGATTCTCCATTACTGAGACTAGGTTTAATTTCAGATTTATTAATTGAATTCAAATTCTGCTTGCTTTCATTATGAATCCACGTGTGCTCTCAGTACATGAATCCACATGCTGAAAGCATGATGCTGGGCCTCTGGGATATTAGGCCATCACCTATCCCCTTAAACTTAACATTTTAAAGTGTCTTGACAGGATAAATGCTAAGAAAATGCTTCCCTGGCAACAGAGCATAGAAAAATGGGATTCTTATAAAAGTTTACTCACAGGATGAGGGCGTCGCTAGCATTTATTGCCCATCCCAGAGAGCAGTTAAGAGTCAACCACATTGCTGTGGGTCTGGAGTAAATATGTAGGCCAGACCAGGTAAGGATGGCAGTTTCCTTCTCTAAAGGACATTAGTGAACCAGATGGTGTTTTCCGGTCAGCATTGGTGTTATGGTTATCACTAGACCCTTCATTCCAGATTCTTTATTGAATTCACATTCCACCATCTGCCATAAGAGATTTGAACCCAGGTCCTCAGAATATTAACTGAGTTTCTGGATTAATAGTCTAGCGATCATACCACTAGGCCATTACCTCCCCTATAGGGCTGACAGTCTCAGAATAAGGTGTGGACAATGGAGAATGGAGATGAGCAAATATTTCCTGAAATACGGTTGTGACCTCCCAGGAATTATCTACCCTAGAGAGCTATGGTGGTTCAATCAATGAATATTTTCAAGGCAAAATTGATATATTTTTGAGTATTACTCTGGAATAGTGCAGGAAGGTGGAGTTAAGATACAAGGTCAACCATGATCCCATTTGATGGTGTAATTGGCTCAAATAGCCCCCTGCACTGCAATTATTTATATTCCTATAACTGAATAAATGATTGGCCTTGTTATGTCAAAGAAGGAAACTGAAGTAATTCTATTCATGGAATTAAAGGAACTTTTCAGGAAATGTGCACCTGTTTTCTGTTCCACATAGTTTGTCTCCCCAACACATCCAAACAACTACACAGCAATCTCTCTAGGTATTTTTATTGGAAAAATCAGAAAATTCAGGTAAGAAAGTGAAAAATGTGTGTGAATATCATTGTTTGGTCATTGTTCCTTTTCTCTTCCAGGATCTCTTGCCTCTGCAGCAAGGATTTTGGGATACAGAGAACTGCTGCCCTCTCCTGGCAACAGCTATACTGGGAACTGTGCTGACAGGCTCTGGAGTAAGTTCAACAGTCCTTAAAAAACTGTTTGAATCTATGGTGCTCCTAAATTTGATGTTTATTCGAGTTACAGTAATTACAACAGACTTCAGCGCCTGCAAAAAAATAAGCATTTCAGTTGCAACTTTCAAAGAAGAACCATAATAAATTTTGAAAGAGAAAATCACAAGGATGTGAAACTAAGTGACTTCATCCCAAGACCAGCCCATCTCGTCCCCGCCTCCTTGACCTGTCCGTCTTTTCTCCCACCTATCCGCTCCTCTCACCTCACTGACCAACCCCCACCACCACTTCCTACCTACTAGCTTCATCCCTGCCTCCTTGACCTGTCTGATTGCCTCCCACCTACCCACCCCTCCCTCCCCACTGACCAACCCCCATCCCAACTTCCTCCCTACACTCACCTTTACTGGTTTCATCCCTGCCTCCTTGACCTGTCCGTCTTCTCTCCAACCTATCTGTTCCTTTATTCACCTTCTATCATCGCCTCCCCTTCTCTGTATTTATTTCAGAACCCCTTTCCCTCCCCCATTTCTGATGAAGGGTCCAGACCCGAAACATCAGCTTTCCTGCTCCTCTGATGCTGCCTGGCCTGCTGTGTTCATCCAGCTCTATACCTTGTTATCTGAAACTAATGGATAGTTCTTTTAGAGATGGTGTAGGTATAATGCATTGAGTGGCTTCCTACTATGTTCTACAGAATGAAGGAATCTATTTGGTCCCTCATGTCAGTGTTGCTCATAAAAGGATTGTCCTGACTATTCCTAATTTCCAGTTCTTGATCTGTGGCCCTGCAAATTACACAACTTCAGATATATGGCATGCCCAAGTGTTTTCTGAATGTAATGACAGTTTCTGTCTCTACCACCCTTTATGAAAGAGTGCTAAGAATTGTGCCAATTTAAGATTATGAGATTTAAGATATATGACACATTGCCTTTTTTGACCAAACTTGGCACACGTTCAGGGCAGGTAGGACTTGAAACTGTATCTCTGGACCAGGGATAGAGACACTACCACAAGAGCCCCCGAATTCATTTTCTTGTGGTTTAGATGAATCCCACTTGATTCACACCACATAAGATTAAAGACAATTAATTAGGAGAATGCCTCTGAAATTGCAGTAGCACGCCATAAGGCAATCATGAGAAACTTTATTTGCCATATTGATTGGACAAACCAAATTTGCAGTAATAACTGGGAGGATGAGTTCATTGAAGATGTGAAGATCGTATCTAGATCATCATATTGAGGAACCGATTCAATCTTGGAGGAAAATGTGCATTGAGACAAGAGTGGCCTTAATACGATATATTTTTTCATGAAATTGTCAGCACTTTGGTTAAGTCCAAAACGAGGGTGTTAAATTTAAATTCTGCAACAGCAGAATTGTACTCCAACACAATCTGTAATCTCATGGCCCAGCAGATCCCTCACTCTACCATTACTGTTAAGCCTGGCAGTCAACCCTGGTTCAATGGAGAGTGCAAGAATTCATGCCAGAAGCAGTACCAGGTACACATAAAAATGAGGCGTCAACCTGGTGAAGCTGTAAAAGAAAAGGACTACTCAAGAATGATAGTGGACAATTAAACAACAGGAGGTTCCACAAATACCCTCATCCTTAATAATGGAAGAACTGAGCACACCAATGCAACAGATAAGGCTGAAGCATTTGTAACAATCTACAGCCAGAAGTGCCCAGTGCATGATCAATCTCTGCCTCCCTCAAAGGGCTCCAGCATCACAGATGCCAGTCTTTAACCAATGCAGTTCACTTTACTCCAAGTGATATCAAGAAAATGGCCGGAGTCACTGGATAAACGGTACTGACCTGACAATATTCCAGGACTGAAGACTTGTGTTCCAGAATTTGCCACTAATCAGGCCAGGCTCTTCCAGTCAGTTACAACACTGGTGTGTGGAAAGTTGCCCAGGTACGTCCTGAACATAAAAGCAGGACCAATCTAACTCGGCCAATTACTGAATTACTGAACATCAGTCTACTCTCGATCATCAGCAAAGTGATAGTAAGTGTCACCAACAGTGCTATCAATCAGCGATTGCTTAGCAATAACCTGTTCAAAGATGCCTGCCAGGGCCACTCAGCTCCTGATCACCATTATATCCTTCATTCAAACATGGACAAAGAGAGGAATTCAAGAGGTAAGGTGAGAGTGACTGTTTTAAACAATACCTTCCAAACCCATGATCAGCACCATCTAGGAGGTCAAGGGCAGTACATACATGGAACACCACCATGTTCAAAGTCCCCTTCAAGCCACTCACCACCCCGACTTGAAAATGTATCACGACTGGCTTCAATGCCTTATACTCACACAAAATTACCCCAGAATTCTCTGGGTATCAGTCAAAGGCACAGGACCTGAACTGACAATGATTAACAGTGGTACTGCATCAGGAAGGCCCAAAAAAACTCTCCATCTCCTACAATGCTTACGTGAGCTACAACCCAGCACAACTCTCAGCTTCCTCTAGATTGTTCACTGCTGCACCTGAGCATACCCCACCACGTTGCTTACCCCCACTACTCCCTGAACATTGCTCAGCATCCACCTCAAAGTGCTTACCACGCTGACATTACACGTTCTCCTCCACCCTTGACACTTGTCAATCTCTCATTCTCTGTCCTGAAAACTCCCTGTACTCTCATGAATGCTTACTTTCCCATAGTCTTCAACATTGCTCCCCGTACACAAACTTCCTGACAATAATCAGGAACTGGGGATGCGGAGGGAGGTCGAATGAAAATGAGGAATGTAAAACAGTTATTTTAAACCTAGTTTAATGAGAAATTAATGGGACTAAATGGCAACAAAATCTACTGGACCTGACAATCTGCATCTGAGTGTTTTCAAAGAAATGGTTACAGAAATAATGGATACATTGATTTTGATTTTCTGAAGTTTCTTAGACACTTGAAAAATTCCATAAGATTGGCAGTGTGTGTACATACCCCTGCTTTTAAGAGAGGGGGCAAGACAGAAAATAGGAAATCAGGGGTCAGTTAATCTAACAGCAGCCATGGGTAAAAATACTAGAACTTATTATTAGGACTTGGTAAAAAAAACTTAAAAAACATTAATATGATTAACAGAGTCAACATGGGTTAATGAAAGGATAACTGTGTTTGACAAATGTTTTGTTTGAGGATGTATCTAGTTAGCTGGCTAAGAGAGCCACCAGTGGCTGTAGTGTATTTGGATCATCAAAATACATTCTTTGAGGTGCTGCATTAGAGGCTATCACATAAAATTAGGACTCATGGAATAGGTTGGGGTGCAGCAGTGCTATCTTAGCGTGGATTAAGGATTGGTTCATGGATAGAGAGCAAGAATAAAGAGGATATTTTTGGGATGACAGTCTAGAATTAGTAGAGTTCTGAGGAATGGTCACTGGACCCGAAATGTTAACTCTGATTTTTTTCTTCACAGATGCTGCCAGACCTGCTGAGCTTTTCCAGCAACTTCAGTTTTTGTTCCTGATTTACAGCATCCTGCAGTTCTTTCGGTTTTTGTCTAGAATTGTTAGGGTTCTGCAAGCATCAGATCTTGGACCATAGCTATTTACAACTTACATCAATGATTTAACTTGGAGGACTAAGTAATGCATCCAGGTTTGCTGCTGATACAAAGTTTGCAAGGTAAGTAGTGAGGAGGATGCAAGAAGCTGTGAAGGAAACCTGAGTACTGTTGGACATGTATCAGAGCAAGTTAACATGCAGGTAACACTATTAATGGGAAAGAAGGTGGTTTGTTAGTTTTTGTTACAAGGACATTGAAGTACAAGAGTAAAGAGGTCTTATTACAATTATAGAAGGCATTGGTGAATACTGTTTTGACTTCCTTGCCTAAGAAAGGACATACTTGACCTAGAATGAATACAATGGAAGTTTATCAGACCGGTTCCTTAGTGGAAGAATTTGTCCTATTAGGAGACATTGGGCAGACAAGGTCTGTATTCTTTGGAGTTTAGAAGAATGCGAGGCGGTTTAATTGAAACGTAAAGTTCTTAAGGAATTTCACAGGCTAAAGAAAACGTTTTCCCTGGATGAGAAATCTAGAGCATGAGTTCAGAAGAAGAGAAGTCATCCTGGCGGAATTACAATTTTAACAGAATTTATAAAAGTCTCCAGAGGGCAAGAATTTGTAGGAATCTCTGGGCTGTCAGAATTGAAAATGAATGTTCAGGCCATCAGGGATGGAAAGAAGTGTTAAATTGCTTCAGCAGTTCAAAGACAAGGGCTAGAATGAATAATTTGAATAATAATTTAAAGAGTTAAGGTACTTTCCTGGGATTAAGTGACTAAAGGATAATTCTGGAAAAAAGGTTGAATCTTTCCTTTTGTTGGTTATGTTAAGGTATTCTTAAATTTTCACAAATATATATGTGGCTTTGATTTATTTTTTCTGTATAATACACTCGCATTCTTTTATGAAAAGATTCTTGACAGCCTTGTGTGAACATGTTCAGTGACTGATCACCATGGTAACCAAACTGCAAAAAATAAAACTTACAATTGATCAAGCCAGGTTTCACTTTAAGATGTAACTTGTCCGATATTCCAATCAGCTGGGGCCATCAAAAAATGTGCATCAAAAAAATAAAGGCAATAAAGTTTAGATGATGCTGTTGTTTTTAAAGCGGAACGATTTGTTTAAAAATAAACTGTTCTTCGTTCTCAGATCCTCTATTGTCTGAAAACAGTCATTCGCCAATTCCCACCAGAGGCGAGGCGTCAGTCAATGAGTCGACAGCCCTCCTTTACCTATTCAGAGTGGCCTGAAGAAAAGCTTGATGAAATCATTGACACAGTACCTCAAGATCATGAGCAGGACGATATAGAGGGTCAAGTCTTTTTACAGTCCGAGAGTCAGGAACAGGTGGAAAACCTGATTCAGGGCCTTGAAAGCTCCACAGATTCAACATCAGAGTCAGTGGATCAGTCAACACTTGCAGTTAAACCAGTTGGACTTCAGGAGAGGTAAGATTTCAATGGTTCTGTCTATAAAAGGGTACTAAATACCTGGCATAGTAAAGGCTGAGCCTTTGTTCGACAAACATATCAATAAAATGAAGTCTCAGTCCACACAGCCTGCTGGGAGCAGATAGCAAGAACTGCAGATGCTGGAGTAGATGCTACTCCAGATATTTTGAATTCCACAACAAAAGAAGACCTCCGCCCCACCCCATGTCCTCCATCACAACCTCAATCACTTTCCTGACGCTTGTGCCCAGACTGGGCATAAAAGTTGTCAAGTCAACAAAGAATGCCCCCCACTTTGGAGTATAAACTGGAAAATGGAAATTGGATACTCTTATATTGCTAAAAGTACCAGAAAGATCAAGTAGGATTGTATCCTTTAGCTGCAAAAGGTTATGTTACTTTTGGGGCAGTGAGCTGGATATTTTACGAGATAGAGTGGCACTGTGTGTATTTAAGCCACGGAAGAACTGCCTACTGAAATCCAGTAAATTGGCCTAACTGTAATTTATTACAAACCTGTAAGACAGGGCAGCCAGAGACATCCAGAAGCCTGCAAACAAGAAATATCACACTCTGTCTGTCTGTCTGTCTCTCTCTCTCTCTGAGTGAAAACAAAAAAAACACACAGACTGTGAAAGAAAGAATTCTCATATAAGAAAAACCTTGGGTCTGTGCAATCTGCTACTGAATACTCTGCAGTGTAAAGTCAAAACTGTGAGAAATGATTCCCATGCTTGTGGACTGGACTGTTGAATTGCAGAATTTGTTTCCCCCTGCTATATTTTTACACCCATATTATTTACATCTAACTATCTGTTTTTATCTGTCTTATGATATGTGTACGTTTGGGGTTGTAAAGGCTTAAGTCGTAATTGGTAATCATTTTTTTACTTTCCATTTGTCAAAGAATAAGTTTGTTTGCAATAAATTATTATTTTCGTGCTCAAGATGAAACTTGATATGAATTACTTTTGTCCTACATAGCAATCAATCAGGAAACTTAATCATCTTCATGGCTTAGTGAAGTAGTTACATGTTTGTGATGCTTTATAGAAATAGCAGGGCTCAATTATTGGTTGGTACATTCATCCCAATTCTTCCCAATCTGGACAGAGGTTCAAGTCTAACAGTGACTAGGATGTGGTGGAGTAAGAACACAGGAGCAAATATAGGCTATTCAGCTGCTCAACCTTGCTCTGTCACCCATAACTCTTTATCAACCTCAATGCCATATTACCGTGCTAACACAAAATCCCTTGATATAATGAGTAACTCTAAATTGACCACTGCCTGTAAGGATGGTGAGGCAGAGACTTTCATAACATTTAAGAAGTGTTCAGTTATATACTTGCAATGCCAAGGCATACAAGGCTATGGACATGTACTGGAAAATGGGATTAGAATATTTAGGTGCATGTTTTTTTACTGGCGTAGTGTCAAGGGGAAAAGGGCATTTCTCTGTGCTGTAGATCCCTATGACTCTAAAGCTATTCATTTCTGTCTTGAACTTGCTTATTGACTTAGATTCCCATTGTCTGGGATTGAGGGATCCAAAAAATTCACCACCCTCTGATGTTGTAAATGGCATGCCTTACATTCTGAGATTGTGTGCCTTGGTTCTTGACACTAAAGCCAGGGGAAAAGTCTTTTCTGCATCCAAACTATCTAGCTCTTTAGCCTCTGAGATTGTCTTTCATTCTTCTAAATTCCAGAAAATATCAACGCAACCTCCTCAATCTCTGCTGATAGAACAGTCCTACTCTCTTAGGAATCAGTCTGTTGAATCACTGCTGCACTTCCTCCTTAAGAAAGATGACCAGAACTGCACACAATATCCCAGGTGCAGTCTCATCAGTGCCCTATACAAATAAAGTCAGATTTCTTTGCTCCTATACTCAATTTTTTTTTGCAATAATTGAGATGAAGGTGAAGTGGTACTGCAGCTGGACTGGTAATCCAGATTCCTGGGTAATGCACCAGGGACCCAGATTTGAACGCCACCATGGCAGAGGGTAGCATTTGAATTCAATAAAAATTTTGTGAGGAAAAAGTCAAATGAGAATGATGAAACTATTATTGAATGGTATACAGTCTGAAAGGAGGATCCCATTAAGTTTCATGACATCAGGTCTATCATGGGCAAAAAGACATCTTGTTAATTACTATGTACTGCTCCACCATCATCTGGTGAATCAGTGCTCCTCCATGTTAAACATCACTTGGAGGAAACACTGAGAGTGACAAGGGAGTAGAATGTACTTTGGTGGGGGCCTCCAACGTCCATCAACGAGTGGCTTGGCAGCATCACTACTGTCTGAGTTGGTTGAGTCCTAAAGGACATAGCTGTTAGACCAGGTCTGTGGCAGAGAACCAATGAGAGGGAAAACATACTTGACCCTATCTTCATCAATCAAGCTTTCACTAATGTATCTGTCCATGACAGTATTGGTGAGAGTGACCTCCGCCCAGTGCAGACTAAGTCCTGTCTTCACATTGAGGTTGCACTCCATTGCATTTTGTGACACAACCACTGTGCTAAATTGGATAGACTTAAAACAGGTCTAGCATTTCAATACTGGGCATCCATGAGATGCTGTGGGCCATTGCATCAGCAGAATTGCACTCTAACACAATCTGCAATCTAATGCCTATCCCCCACTCAACCCTTAACATCAAGCCAGGGATCCACCTCTGGTTCAATGGCGAGTTCAGGAGGACATGCCAGGAGCAGCACCAGGCATACCTATCATTGATGTGTTAACCTGGTGAAGCTACCAAACAGGACTATTTGCATGCCAAACAACAGTAAGCAAGTGATGGACAGAGCTAAGTGATTCTGAAATCAACGGATCAGATCTAAGTTTTGGAGTCTTGTCATGTCCAGTCATGAATGGTGGTGAACAATTAAACAACGCACTGAAAGAGGAAGCTCCAGAAATGTCGTCAATCACAGTGATAGGGGAGTTCGGCACATCAGTGTAAAAGAAAAGACTGAAGCATTTCGCAACAATTTCCAACCAGAGGAGCCAAGAGCATCCATCCCGGCATCCTCCAAGGGTTCCCAAACACTTTGGATGCTTCAGACAATTTAATTCACTGTGATATCAAGAAATGGCTAATAAGCACTAGATACTGAAAAGCCGTTGGGTCCTGGCCACATTCTGGAAATTGTACTGAAGACTTGTGCTCTAGAATGTGCCCCCATGTCAGACTTCAACACTAGCATCTAGCTGACTATGTCAAACATTGCCCAGGTATGTCCTGTACTGGAGGAAAATGCAGGAAAAAGACCAACATGGCTAATTACCACCCTATTAGTTAGCTGTCAGTCATCAGTAAAGTGATGGATGATGTTTTCAACAATGCTATCAAGCAGCACATGTTTCATAATAATCTGCTCACTGACTGACTGACGCCCAGTTTAAGTTCCACCAGGGACACTCAGCTCTTGACCTCAATATAGCCTTGATTCAAACAAAGTCAAAAGATTTGAATCCAGAGGTGAGGTGAGATTGACATCCTTTGGTGTCAAGGCTGCATTTGACCAAGTGTGGCATCAAAGGCTCCTACCAAAACTTGTGTTATTGGTAATTAGAGGTAAAAGTTGGAATCATACCTGGCATAAAGGAAGATGATTATGGTTGTTGAAGGTCAGGCATCTCAGCTCCAGAACATAAATGCAGGAGTTCCTCAGAGGACTGTTCTTGGCCCAACCATCTTCAGCTACTTTGTCAATGACCTTCCCTCTATCATAAGGTCAAAAGTGGGCATATTTACTAATGATTGCACAATGTTCAACACCATTTGTGATTCCGCCGATCCTGTCCATGTCCAAATGCAGCAGAACATGGACAATGTCCAGTTTTGGGCTGAAAAGGGGCAAGTAGCATTTTCACCACACAATTCCAGACAGTGTCCATCTCCAACATGAGAGATTCTAACACTCTAGCTTTGATATTCATTATGAACATCCTGTGGGTTACCATTCATCAGAAACTGCACCAGACTAGCCGTATAAATATAAAATCAAAAATAGAAATTGCCGGACAAACTCAGCAGGTCTGGCAGCATCTGTAGAAGGATAGCAGAGTTAATGTTACTCGTCTTCAGGACAGATGCTAACTTGGAAAAAGTTGGTATTTATGCAGAAGATAGAGGGAGGAGGAGTAAACGGTAGGTGGTGATAGAGCCCAAACAGAGACAGAAACAGTTGCATAGACAATGGAATGCATACAGGTCGGTCTGGGGGAACGAGTAGCTGCTAATGGGGACTATTAGAAGCTGACAATGAGTTGTGTGTGGTAGCAGCCCATATGATGACAAGGCCACATGTGTCAGGGCTGAGGTAAGGATATGGGAAAGGTGCCTCAAGCCCTAAAATTGTTGAACTCGATATTAAGTCCAGAAGGCTGCAGAGTTCCCAAGCGGAAAAGAAGGTGCTGTATAAATACTATGGCTACAAGAGCAAGTCAGAGGCTGGGAATCCTGCAGCGTGCAGCTCATATCCTGACTCCCCAAAGCCTGCCTGCCTGCCATCTACAAGACCCAAGTTAGGAGTGTGATGGAATACTCCCCATTTGCCTGGATGGGTGCAGCTCCAACAACACTGATGAAACGTGACACTCTCCAGGACAGAGCAACTCATTTGAATGGCACCACATTCACAAACATCTACTCCCTCCACAGGGACAGCAGTGTGATCCATCTACAAGATGCACTGCAGATTGTCACCAAAGTTCCTTAGACAGCACCTTCCAAACCCATGAGCACTGCCATTCAGAAGGGCAAGGACAGCAGATACATGGGAACACAAGTTGCAACTTCCCTCCAAGTTACTCCCCATCCTGATTTGGAAATATGTTGCTGTTCCTTCAGTGTTACTGAGTTCTAATCCTCAGACTCCTTCCCTAATGGCATCATGTCTACCTACACCAAATGGATTGCAGCAATTTAAGAAGGCAGCTTACTACCGCTTTCTTAAGGGCAACTCAAAACGGGTGATAAATGCTGGCCCAGCTGCCAATGGCCACTTCCCATGAATTAATTTTTATACAATACCATTTGCCTTCCAAATTGCTTGCCGTACTTTGTGCATTGTGGCTTGTGTTCACAGTTAGCTGCATTCAAGTAAATGCACCAAAATGTACCAGAGAACAGGAAACATACATCTAGGGGGTCTCTACCAATTATTTCATGGTAAAGTATTCAATGCTTCTGTAAATAAGTGACAGCTGTCAAATAGCTTTTGTGAAATTTTATCTTGTTCTTTACACTTAAAGGAGAGGCTCCAATGTATCCCTTACTCTGGACATGTGTACACCAGGAAGTGAAGAAGCTGATGGGCAGGTGCTGTCACCCAGGGAGCAATCTGCATGGGAATACTTGCAAACAGCGTCAAATCTACTCACTTCAGAGATACTGCATGAACGGGCCATGGACTCTTTCTCACTCCAGAGAGAGTTCCTTGTAAGTAACATCAGGAAATGTGGGATCCAGAATGTAATGCAAAGGAACCTTCACTGCATGTAGCCAGTCTGACTGGGAGTAAATTCATTCAACTGTATACCTGTCTGATGGCCAGGTTTCTTAGCATCCAACCTGCACTTAGCGCCTGGCTTATGATCAGTACCCAGTCTCCACTCAAAAACTAAGCTTTGACCAGCACAGTATTTTCCCACTGTTATATATTTTTAATTGCTACCCAGTGTAGAAAACTAGCTCAATTTAAGTTGTTAAAGGAAATTTAATCTCGATGTTAAAAGTCATGAAGAGTTTTTGACAAATAAAGATGAGCCATTTCTCATGGTGAAGGATCAAGTACCCAAAGGACACAGAGATTAAAGTAATTGGCAAAAGAATGAGAACCAGAGTGGAATTTTTCCTCTCTAAAATGACTTGCTGTGATCTTTAGTGCACTGTCTGCAAGTGTAGTAGCTACAGCAATCTTTTAAAATGGTTTTAAATGAATAATTTAAGGGAAACAACTTGCCAGGCTTTGGAAAAATGGGGAGGTAATGGAACTGAATGGATTCCATGTTTCAAAGACCTGGTACCGCATAAGGGACCAAATGGCTTCTACCTGTGTTATTTAATTTTGAGGCATATCAAAAGCTTGGCAGTCAACTGTTCCCTGGTGCATTCTCAATGGCTTTACCTTTCTCAATCAGAGTGTCAATCTGTCAACTCCCTCTTCTCATGGAGTATAAATTATTGTTCCCTTTGAGATTTGGTATTCTTGTGACTGTGTTCTGGAGTAATGAAAAGCTTCAAATGAATGTCCTCTTCGGCAATACTCAAGTTCTGAACTATCAAATGACTATTTATGATATCATGCTTCAGCAGAAAAGATTTAAAAGCTGTGTACATGTTTTTGATTCACAATCTATTTCTTGTTCTTCTCACTTTAAACCTTTCCCATATGGTTTTCATTTGCTGCAAAACTAAACCAAGCAGAGAGCCACTTAATTCATCTTTGTTAAATGTATGGAACATCTGGCATCTCGGAGTATAACAGTCCTCTTTAGTTTTTGTTCTTCCTCTCTAGCCCATGGTAAAGCGACTTGTCTCCACACTCTTGCTTCCCTGTGCCATCACTTTCTTAGGAATTCTGGCACCCTAAAAATGGAATTCTTAACTCTGGGTTAAGGTGACATTGTAACTCAGTCAACAAACACTGTATATGGGACTGAGAAATGTTTCCGTTTGGGTATCCAAGCAGATTATTCTTTTAATCCATGGTTTCCTTAGTTGCCTTATCTTACCAAACTTGGATCAGATTTCAGATTATCAGATTTGGAAAAAAAAACACATTAAAGTCAACAAACATATGAACTGTGCCGTTTTTTTTAGAAGATTTAAAATGTAATATTTAGACACTATTCATATAAGCTTGGCCTTCATGCTTTAATTCTCTCTACTATAGGAAATACCGATGAATTTTGTTGATCCAAAGGAATTTGATATTCCAGGTTTCGGGCTGAAGAATCGCTATAAGACAATTCTCCCAAGTAAGTCAGTTGCAAAATTGCCAGCACTAAATACATTGCCAAGTCAGAACACGATCCATTTATTTCTTTGCTTTCTGCCAAAAGAGCCCCAATCCCAGAACAATAACTGTAACATCAATTTGTATCTCTGTGTAGTGCTTTTAATACCTCAAGATACGCAGGGTTGGGAGGTGGGAGGCAGCGTTACGACACTAAACCGCATATGGAGACACTATGGCAGATAGCCAAAAGCTTGTCAAAGAAGTAGGTTTTAAGGAATTTCTTCAAGGAGGGAAACAAGTCAGAGCAGCAGAGAGAAATAGGGATGGAATTCTGAAACTTTGAGCCAAGGTCACTGAAGGCAAATCTGGTGAAGCAACTAAAATTGGAGGTGCTCAAGAGCCCTGAATTAGAGCAACGCAGGTATCTTGGAGGGTAACAGAGCCAAAGATTAGAGAGGGGTAAGGGTGGATCCATGGAAGGATTTGAAAATGAGAATAAGGATTTTCAAATTGAGGTATCACTTAACTAGGAGGCAAAGTAGGTCAGCAAAATTTGGGGTGATGGGTGAACTGCATTCGGTGCTGGCTGGAACATAGGAAACAGAAGTTTGCATGAGTTTCTAGTTACCCTGGTTATTAACTAGTAAAATACTAGACAGTGGGCTATAGGAAAAGCAAATAGTAGCCTCAATACTGTGCATCTTAATTCCTCAATATTATCCGTGCTCCAATGTGTTAACAACTTACATCAGTTTCAAAATTGATCACTAAGCTCTTCTAGGGGAAACTTGCATAAGCACCATAATGTCCCATCCGATCCTGCTTATTGAGTCTATCTAGCTAAGTTATTTTCCAATAAGGCTGTGCAGGAATGGTGGAGTAGGCACTGTCCACGTTAGGATATGTTAGGAAATGAAATAAGCAGGAATTGTTCATTAAAACATCTCTTGATTAAGGTGTAGCCCAAAGGGTTATGCTACTGAGTAAGTCACTTGTTTGTAAATTTGAGTGATCAACTTCAGTTAATGCAAAGATTTTTTGTTCTTTTTTATTTTGCCATTTCATTTTCAGATCCTCATAGCAGAGTGTGCCTTACCATTAACAAAACAGAGGATCCACTTAGTTCATACATTAATGCTAACTACATTAGGGTAAGTGCAATATTTAGAGGCATAGCTTCAAGGAGCTAGCTAGGCCAATCTTAAAAATAAACATAACAATTAAAATATATCTGTAACAATTACTGTGTTGCTATCTGGAATTCCATTTATTCAGCAGACCATGGCTTACTTTCTGTATAAGTTATGGTGTTATTTTCTATAAAGTAGGATAAGGTAATTTGCTGTGTAATTTATGATTGATGGACAGAAAAAGTATTTGTTCCTCTGTGTGATTTTCAGAGTTGCAATTTATACAGCAGAATGTTACATACTGTCTGGTTTATAGATATGATTATGGTGATGGCAGGTGCTCTATATTGTGCCTCAATGACTGGGAGTTGTGTGCAAGGTACATTGAACCCTTAAAAGGTATCAAAACAAGGGACTGCATCTGAGCTCAGGAAGAATAAGTGCTGAAGGGGGACCCCATTATTCAAAAGAATTTAGCCTTTGAACCAGATGGCACCTCCCAAACCTGCTACCATTCCAGCCTAGGCAACCCTGCTGCAATAGCCAGAAAATTGCTTTATGCAGTGGGCACCAATCAGTTCTTCACTGGCTGTTGGTGTCGAAAATCTAGCACTGACATTCCTTGTGCATTGTAAATGATGGCGCAAGAATTTTGTGTAAATAAGCGTTTTGCACATCTCACATGCACACTGCCTAAGTCAGCAGCTCTGTGTAGGAGCCGTGTTGTCAGCCTTACAGAATTGTGGCTTTCTCAGCAGTATAGCCGTGCAAGAGCTGACAATGAAACAAAAGCAAGCCACCAGAACAAATTGTTTTCTTTGATTTGATATGTAAAGTATCTACATAAGCACTGGACTCTATTTATTTGTACAACTGATAACATGCTTGAGTTTCAGCTTCCTTCAAATCGAAGTGCAGCTCAAACAGCTATGTTTTCTTCCACCACTCCTTTTGACAGTAAGATTATCAGCTATTCTCCATTCTATATCACTACAGGAGCATAGTACAACTAATGCTGTAGTGTTTCTGCTCCTCTTGATCTGGTATTGAGTTGTTAACTTTGGTGTGTTGCAGGGCTATGGAGGGGAGGAAAAAGTATACATTGCTACTCAGGGACCAACTGTGAACACAGTTTCGGATTTTTGGACAATGATTTGGCAGGAGCGGTCAACTATTGTCGTCATGATCACAAATCTAGAGGAGAAGAATGAGGTACTGCTACACCTGGACTTGTTGGGCATTTATTATTAAAAGAGGAATGTGATTGTTTGATGAAAAAGCATTAATTTGCACATATTTTTGTCCAAATTCGTGTTTACTTTCTACTCACGATCATCTTATTTTGAAGTTGCTCTTGCTGTATTATCATTATACAAGCCCTGGTTGCCTTTCAGTCTCACCAACGTGTTTAAGCATTATTTCCAGAGCAAAATTCAATCAGTGTTCCAATGTGAGGATCATGCAACTTGTACCCAATGGATCCATAGATGCATAATTTCAGTACTGCCCACGATTACTAATTTCAAATGAACTGGGGCTTGCTCCTTTCTAATTGTTATGTCACCATGTATTTAGCATCCAAACCACAACTATAATTTGTGACGAGAGTTATGTTTGAGATGGTTTGCTGGTGGCAGGGGCTGAAATACTTGACAATAGTCCCAGCCTTTAAACAACATGACACCCAAAAGCCTTAACATGTGGGACTTAGCTGCATGCCCTTAGTCAATCAACCACCAAAGCTGAAGGGAAGAAGCAGTTGGAGGGAAATGGGAACGGCATGTTGTACAGCAAGGACCATAGGAAATGTCTCTGGCAATCAGGGGAGTTTTACAGGGAGCAAGTGCAATGCCTGGCTCCACAATGGAAGTCAATAAATGTAAAATAATTTTCCTATCAACCCTTCTCTGATCCTGAGTTTTCTTTTCATAATCCTGGCAGGAAAGCCCCAAAAGGTGAATGACCATGCACCCAATTTGCATGTCCTTTCCTCTCATTTCAGCGGAGCAGGTTAAAATTAGGATTCTTGATTAAGTTCCATGGATGGTTATATTGGCCTGCAATAACAAAATTTCCACTAGATGTGTGGGTTTAACTTCTCCCTCCCCACCCAAGTGCAGGAATACCTTACAAATCGTCTGCCATATTTTTAATTCATGGTACAAACATTCCTAGGAGGGAATACAGTCAATTTCTTTTTCTCTTCATTTTGTTATTGGTTTCCTTTTTCCTGTCCTAATGTATACAGTCCTAAAGTGTATAGGTAGAGTGCTGGTTGCAAGCCTTTGCCAACAATACTCTTTGCAATGCTATTGACATAGGATGGTGACAGAGGGAACAAGCCTGAATTGTGCAACAATAGCTAAAAACCTGTATGCTTGTTAGTTGTTGTAAGTGGAATAAGTGACATGTAACCCAGGATCTCTACAAAAAAGGGCTTTTTCAGCGAATGAAAAATCTCACAAAAGCTTACTTTTTGAAGGAAGATTGAGTGATGAAGCAGCATTTTATTAAAATTTTAAAAATAAGGGAGAGAAAGTGTGAAGTTTTAAATGACCTGAAATCCGCTTGGAATGAGTGAAGGAGATTGTTAAGAGGATGTGAAAGATTGTCTGAGAAGGTAAGCAACAATGAAATGGAAGTTGTAAATAGCTAAGATATTGAAAAATAATCTAACATTTTTTTTTCAATTTCTATCAGTGGAAACCTGAGTGCAGACTTTTCAAGATCTGCTGTTTTAACTCCACAAAATGCAATCTTTCGATGAGGGGGCTCCAATTAGTGTAACCAAAATAGAGGGGGAGTCTGGATCCTAGTATGCCACTTACATGAGATCTTCTACTAGATGCATGGCCAGTCTTTGAGTTCAGGTGGAGGTTTGGAAGCTCTGGGCTGGAGGTGGATGTGCTGTGAGGGAGCTAAGTTGGGAAAGAAGATCTCAGTGGGAGGAGGTGTGGGGTACTGGAGGCCTTGCTGGGGAAGTCATAAGACTTGGGATGGGAAATTGGAGCATTGGAGGCTTGGGATTACAAGGTCAAAATCTTGGGAGAGAGCAGATGGTTGGAGGCCCCAGGGGAGATTGGTGATCTTAGATGGAAATCAGAGGCCTTGTGGGGAAATTGGAGGAGTTGGTGTCCTTTTAAGTGCAGGGACAGCTAGGTGTGCATACAGAACCAAGCAGCTAAGTGCAAAGGCATTTACCTCCTTAGCCAACAGTATATTGCCTCAATTTAGCTGACAGAATTCCAGAAGCATTTGAAATCTTGCTGGTCAGAGTTAAATCTTAAATTGGACATACAAACGATACTCACTTCCTAGTAATAATATTTAAAGTGCTCACCCACCTTCCCTGCACTCTACTCCATTCTTCCACTCATTAAAATTGGAAGTGGGTAGATTCAAGGTAAGTCGGGGTCGGAATTCAGATTTCTAATGTATTAACTGCCTCCTCAACCCCACTCTATTTTTAGCGTTAAAATCTCTCATCCCAATCTATCTTTCTCCTGGGCGCTCTGCAGAATTCTGGTCGCAAAACTTATTAACTTCAGACTTAGCTACGTTCTTCATTTTCCCACATTATAGGTTTAATTACAGATTTGAACATTATCCAGTGTATGCATGTGGATATCAAATGAGGTGCATATAAGCATATCAGCGGTACTTCTGTGATGATTCAATAGTCTGCCATCACTACCTGTTCAAGCTCTGATCTAATGCTAACCATCTGGTTTATTTACCAATTTTCCTCTCTCCCTCTGAAAGCTGTAACTACTGCACAGATTGTACCATATTTGCGACCGTCTCCCTGTACAACACTCATTGGGCATTCTTGAAGAGTTGAGTTGAAACAATGAGTGTTGCTGCCATACTCCGCTGAGGCAGTATTATACCTGTGTTCAACCTATACCTACCTAAACAAATGCAACTCCCAGCAAGAGCCGCCAGTTAACAAGTAACAGGAATGGAAAGCCGGAAAGCTGATGTTTTGGGTTGGGACCCTTCTTCAGATGCTGCCTGGCCTGCTGTGTTCCTCCAGCTCCACACTGTGTTATGTCTGACTCCAGCATCAGCAGTTCTTACTATCTCTCAGGAATGGAAAGCCTGCTTTTTTTCTTTATTATCACACTAACCAATGGTACCAAGTTTTACTCCCTCACTCTCTTCTTGAGAATTGCTGACTTAGCACAGACCAGCAATTTAACCCGGGTCAATGAGCAGAAACAGCTTCACATCAAATGATCTTATTGGTAACCCAAACAAGCCCATTTTTTTGTCTGTACTATGATCCTTAGGTCTCCCTTACCTCAAATTAATACTCAATACATTGAGGTGATGAGTAGATCCCCCTGATCACTTAACATGGATGAGAAACCCATCGTTCAGTGGAAAACCATATATATTTGAAAAGATTTTAGATTTCAAATCTGAGTTCTTAAGTCTTCACAGCCTTCTGACACAACTAATATTTTTAAAATTTATTCCCTGTTTCAGAAATGTACAGTGTACTGGCCTGAGGATAAAGCCAATTACCAAGGAATCGAAGTGATTGTAAACAGTGTGCAACATGCAGATGACTACAGTTTGAGAAACATTACCCTAAAGGTGAAAGAATGTTCATTTCTGACTTCATTATTGGATCAACAGTATTATGAAAAAATTCTTCATTGTTTATACCAGTAATATTATCTTCTGTCTCCCTAAAAAATATTATTTGTCATCATTTCATACTGGAAATTATTTGTCTCTGCCTTCACATTCTGACAATTGTGGATATTAGGATTTAAGAGTAATGAAGAAAGACTAAAGGGATTGGTGCGCATAGAATTTCAAAAGCAATTTGATAAGATTCCGTATAGCAGGCTTGTAGTAAGGATAAAGATCACAGAATAAAAGCAACCATAGCAACATGAATACAGAAGTGGATGAGTGACAGAAAATGCAACATTGCAATGGATGGCCTCAGGTCAGAGGTTTCAGTTTTACAACGCAACTGCATGTGGAATCTGGCTGGGGAGGTGAACCTGCTTCACAGAAATGGCAGGCAGATATTTAAAGCATGCAATTAACTGCAATTTTACAGGGGTTTTCAGATTATGCAAAGCTTACATGGAAACCACAAACTTTAGAGCCTTTTCAGGAATGATGATGTGGTGAATTACTGAAAGGTCAGTGTTGATTCTAAGCAGCAGCCATTGGCAGGGAGGGGAGAACAGCATGGGCATTAGCAGAGGCCGCTGGAAGCAGGGAAAATGTTGTCAGCAGCATACGGAGACACACTGCTGGATCACCTCAAACCACCAGGAACTGAGGGCGTGTGAATAAAATGAGAGGGGAGATGAGGGCCTGGAAATGGAGTGCAGCTAAGTTCTATGGGCCCCACTCTCTCGGGTGTTAAGCTCTGATGAGGATCAAAGAGGGAGAAAGCTGGAGCTACACACAGCATCCAGCTGTAACCTGAGAGTTAACAATAGCATCAGCTCAGGTAGGGATTCATGAAGACAACAATCACATGTAAGGTCTGTAGGTTTAACTCACCAAACGCTAATCTTCGTTCCACACATTGCCACTTTCAGGATGGTTTGGAGGAAAGACATCTAAAGCACTACTGGTACACATCATGGCCTGATCAGAAGACACCAGATAATGCTCGTCCACTTTTACAGCTGGTTCAGGAGGTGGAAGAGGCCAGACAGCAAGCTAAGAAGGACAATAGTGGACCAGTGATAGTCCACTGCAGGTAAAAAGATAATTTTATGCATTAATTTCAGGTTTAAAATTCATTGCACCATTCACAACTCTAAATCATTCTGTCTTCTGGTCTTAAAACTATGGACCTTCTCGCCTGCAGTGCACAGTATTTAATAATCAATAAGGTGAGTGAGTCACATTTTTCTTATTTGTGCCATCTTCTGTATTCTTTTTGTGGTGTTGTTCTGTGCTTTGACCTTCGTCTGGTTTTCTCAAAGTCAGAAAAGATCTGTAGCAATGTTTACTCAGTTGGATACTCAGAGAAGAAAAGATTCTCATCTAGATTCTTGCTTTTTATTTCATCCATTTGTTCTTTTCATAGTGTAAATTAAATTTAATGTGAACACAACTGTTTACATCATTTTCTTGCTGTTTTATTGCAGTGCTGGCATTGGAAGGACAGGCTGTTTCATTGCCACCAGCATCTGTTACAGAGAGCTGAAGTATGCTGGTGTAGTTGATATACTGAGGACAACCTGTCAGCTAAGGATAGACAGGTCAGTGTAATAATCCAGTCAGCATTGCAGCTTTCAGTAAAAATGGAGTGGAATTAATAAGTCCATTGCAGTGAAAAACATGGCATTTGAACTCAATTAATTCTAGGAGAGGCCCCACCTCTCTCTCTCTCTCTGTCTCTCTCTCAGTGGCCACAAAATCTTCCCTGTCCCTGATGAAGTGGGAGCTAGGAAGAGCCTGATGTGGGATTCTGGCCATGGGACGTGGAAGCCAGTGGTGATTATTAATGAGCTAATTGACATCCATTATCCTTGAGCCCACTGCAATTTGGTGATGACTTGGGGATTAAATTGGAGCTGTCTCTCTGGATGCCACCTAGCAAACCTTGTCCGATGTGCTAACGCCTCTTGGGTCCCTTGTTATCAGGCACCCTGTACACCATGGCATTGGGAAGTGGGGGCTGGGGGCATTGAAATATATCCCCTGACCTTGTCTGACTTGCCCACCTGTGACCTTCAAGCATCATTGTCTTTGGATGGCACCATGATTCCATGCCTCTGATGGATATAGTGCCACCAAGAGTGACCAATGTCAATGATACTGGTGGCCCCTCATTGGCCAGTATCTTTTGAAGGGCTGGACTTCTGTTGGGAATTCAATCATGGGTAAGGACCTGCTGGTGGACACATCCATTGGGCTTCACCCACAGAACTAACACCGGGGACCCCTAGTTATCTAGTCATTTGTATCTTAATGAAAGCTGTAAAAACATTGACATTCTGGAAAAGGCCTATAGGAATTAAGTAGCAGTAGTTAAACAAACATCTTCAACAAGTACTTATGTTCATAATAACGGTCTAATACCCTGTGGGTTAGTTCATTTAAAACAGTAAAACACATTCCAAGTTATGAAGCAGACTTTCAACAAACCGACTGATTTGTGTGTACATGTTGCAGACACATAGCAGACCAACAGTCGCAACATTATATATACATTAAATATGGAATCCTTTACAGGAGAATGCTGTTAGAGACAAGATACAAAACAACACCCCCTCAAGTTCTAGATGAAAGTTTAACTTTTTACAACAACTAATGAGCCTATGAGTCTCTATAACAAGGTACATAATACAAGAATATTAAATCTGCACTGTACAGTAAATCTAATGGAAACACTTAGTATTTAAATATGCACTTTGAGAACCTATTCCACATTTGCTGAGACTGCAATTTGCCATGAATGTCAGACACTGCATAACTGATAGTGTGCACAAATTCCCTCCATCCATCTGTACTGTTCTGTCTTAGAGGACTAATGCCTTTCCTCATGAGGTGACAGAATGTCTCATTACTTTGTTTCTGCAAGTGATTTAAAAGTCATGAATAAATACATTTCTAAGGTTTCTTTCCATTAACAAGTACTTACGTTGTAAGAGTCCTGTATAGAGACATCCATAGTTGTCAACAAGACAGAGCTGAGCAATTAGAATAACAGCAACATTTGTTCATGTAAAAATGTACAGCAATTATGGTTTGTAGGTGGTTCATTTTTCTCAGTAGAAGGTATGTGTTTTGTGTAACCTGAGCAGAGTATTTCACTTTTTGAAACGAGCTGGAAGATAAATATAAAGAACTTATATTGGGCGAAAGTTCCACAGGATAGCTGTTATCAGTTTTTATATTTTAGTTTAAAGAGACTTTATCTCAGAATCGGATAAAGAGTCAGAAACAACTTATTGGATTCTGAGTTCACCCTTGATACTAGGATTTTCAAGATTTATAAACAGTAATTGTTTATATACAGATTTATCACATACAGTGGATAAGAGAAAAACAAATTATTTAATTAGTTTCATAAAGTAATATGAAACATTAGCTTGGAAATTGGATGATGCTGTGCCCAGTTTGCAAGTGTAAAATAAACACAAGAATATCCAACATTTTGGTGGTATACTTGCACACAATGAGCCAGAAATGCACTATTTGCCTTAGGCACCAAATGGTATGCAAGCCAAGCCTGACAGCAGTGTAATATCCCTATAATACAAATAGGCTGTTTGAAACTCCTTATGTTAGATTTAGCTGGCCTGAACACAGACAGCCAGAAAACTAGGTGTATGTACTACCTATCCATGGCGTCTTTATCATGCAGGGTGCCATTAAAGACAAATTTTGCTACTGTCAGCCAGCAATTACTACCCTCTCAATTAACTCCCCACCTCTCTCCTGATTGCTAAACCATGCTTTTCCCGGTCATACCCTCCTTCCTGATTACTTACTCTCTCCTGGCCCACTACACTTATAATTGCTGCCCTGCTCTTTTGGGCCTTACTGAAGTAAGTCAATACCACTTTTGTTGGACCACTCTAGTTCTTGTATATACACCGTCCAGTTCCAAATTTAAAATGCAATCAAGGTCTCGTTAATGTCATGGGGCCCCAATTTTCCCATTTGTTTTAACCTGAAACCAGCACCTACTTTGAGTCCCCTTTCAAAATGTATTTATCTACATTGGCAGTAATGCCAGGTAATAATGCTATTAACACCAGACAGAAGCAGATACAATTGATCCCTTAAGCATTGATGTACTTTTGTACATTTTGTTGCGCTGAAAATGAGTAAAGGACAAGGAGGTCAAAGGTGGAGATCAGGATGTGATTTTAAAAAAATCCTGGGACTTGGGCATCCGTGTCAAGGCCAAAATTTTGTTACCTTTGAAACTGAGTAGCTCACTACAACCACATTGTTGGAGTCACATATGTAAGCTACATAAGGATGGAAGTTTTCCTTCCCTAAAGGATGTTATTGTAACTTTCAATGACAGTCTCATGGCCATGAGATTAACTTTATATTCCAAATGTATTTATTGATATGTTAATGTTAATGTTGATCTTGCTTCACGCACCTCCTGTGCAGTGTAACCTGTATGCCTCACTCTGTCCATACACCCTATGATCTGTATGTCCTTGCTTACTATGATCTGCCTGTAATGCTCACAAACAAAGGTTTTTGCTGTACTTAGGTACACATGGCAATAAATCAAATCAAATCACATAAATCCCACCAGCTGCCATCGTGTGATCTGAATTAATGTCTCCACAACGTCAGCCTGAGTGAGTCTGGATTGTTAGTTCAATGACATTCCCACAATGTTACCAGCTCCTTCACAGCCAAACCAGCTGCAGAAGGCTCGTGGTGAACAGAAGGCCAAGTACTAGACAGGTGTGAGTTTGAATATGCCTTTGTAAGTTCCCAAAGGACCATTCTGTCAGCTAAAATGAGTTATTTTCAAAATGCTATATTCAGAGTGTGCAGCCTACACAATTTTCTAGAACCTATTATGACCTTGAGTGTTTTCTCACATTGTAATAGGTCCACAATATTCTGATCTATTGGGAGTGGGTTAACACGCTGAGGGTAGGGCATAAAATCAGATGTCATAGCAGGAGGCATCACTTGGGATTGCCATCACTGTCTCCACTCCTGACTTAGTGATCACGGACACCCCATTCCAGTTGCCAGGGCTTGCTTAACTGACCCTCACCAGAACCGTGCCAAATCACCTTGTGAATCCAGCCTCCATGCTGCTTCTTATGATAACATGTTGCAGTCCCATAGTGGCCCCCACTCTCAGTAGCACTGTGGAGAGTGGATGGCTACTGCCTATCTGAATGACTGGCTGGAGGCAGGGCAGCTTCACAAGGTCAAGGGAAACTGTGAACCTAGTTGCTTGGCCACAATGTCAGGTCGTGGCCTTCTAGCCCTATTGAGGCAGGCCCACCCTCCACTCCACTGCTCCTGCCTTAGAGATGGGGTCATTAAAAAAAGTTCAGCGAGGGTTTCTGAGGTTATTTTTTCAAATAAATTGGATGGATTGTGCAAACTGACAAGAGTCTGACATGATGTGAATGTTGTGTTGTTTCTCAGGGGAGGTATGATCCAGACATGTGAGCAGTACCAATTTGTACACCATGCCCTGAGTCTGTGTGAGAGACAGCTATCCCAACAAGCAGAAGAATGAGTGACAGCCTGCCAACCAAGCAGCCATGGACCAAAGTGGCACAAAAATCTCTCTACCAATATGATTTTATGTCATTTGTCAAACTAGCTGATGCTAAATGTGTGGGTATGTGGTTTACAAACGGAATGGTTCATTGTCACTGAAGTGGACTTCATGAATGTAAGTGTCTGAGCCATTTCATTTTTAAAGAACAACTTTTCAATTCATGCAATTGTGGAGAAGTTAAACTATCATAAGCGTGTAAACCTGTGTTTCATGTCTGAATAGATAGATACTTGTCACTCTCTCAGGAGCTGCAAGTAATTCACTTCAGTTTCTAAAGCAACAGATCACTGCGGTTCTCCTTCCATTGGATCGCATATATCAGTTTACATACGATATACAGCACAGAAACAGGCCATTTAGCCCAAGCTGTCTATGTGGGGATCATGCTTCATGCAGTGTTGAGATATTCAGTTGGATGTTGAATTCCCAATACACTGTCTGAAGATCAGGGAGTTCTTCCATCCAAGGCTCCTTCCGCAAACTCCACCAAAAACAAGGCAGACAAACAGGAGGCTGCAAGAACACAGCAGGCCAGGCAGCATCTGGAGGAAAGGAGCAGTCAACGTAACACCCGAAACATTGACCACACCTCTCCTCCAGATGCTGCCTGGCCTGCTGTGTTCTTCCAGCCTCCTGTTTGTCTACCTTGGTTTCCAGCATCTGCAGTTTTTTTTTGTCTCCACCAAAAACAAACTGCATTTTTCAACTCATTGTGCTTTGTGGGAAATTACTGAGCACATTTGGATCATTTCTGAGAATTAGGATGAGGTGTTATGTAAGTTTAAATTCTTTTCATTCAGCTCTACTTACTTTGGTAAAACAGATTTTGAAATCTCTAATAAGAGGAAATAATGTTTACTTTTGAGAGTATAATTATTAAAATGATTTTAATTCAATCTATTTTATTACATATTGTGTGCCAGAAAATTGATTGAATGGCATGTTATATGCGTTGAAGTTCTAAATATTTGTATGTTTTGTTGTGAGGGTAATTGTTTTTCTCCTTGAGTAAAACACCACCTTTGGCTAAGAGAACAGTTGAGTAAAACATATCAGAGTCTTATTATTTATTATTTCATCCAAATTATTATAGAATCCACATGTAATTTTTGAACTGACTGTCTGGTGTTCAATGACTTTCCTGTCATTTTACTAAGTTGAAACATGTGGAAGTTTGTAGAAAGTAAAATAAATATCTTCTATAGGCACCTGTATTATGATTTTAGTCCAAACCGATATCGCATTAAAAATTGTCACAGTGTGATGTGCTTTGAACTATAGCTTTGACCCCCATCCCCAACCCCAGATGTATACATGAGGTTGTGTTAGCCTAAACTGGAGGATGAATCACAGATAACCAAATCAACAATGGCTCTCCGCTAAAATCCTCCAAGCTGCATTTTAATTTTGAAGGAAAATGATTTGTTCTATTGCTGGTGTTGGCTTGCTTGCAGTTATTCCCTTGCTTGCAGTTATTGGGAAGTCTTTATAGCTTATTAGCAGGGAAAGTATAACGTTTTAGTTTGATAAGCGATGGGACTAATGTGTCTCAACTTCTTGGAAATTGGTCATGACGAGAAAATGCCAGCTATTTGTTTGCTAAAAACCTGGGGTGAGAGTGCACCTTTGAAATGAGAACAGTGGTTCTATAATTTTAGAGAATTTAGATGCCAAAGTAAAATTTAAGGAAGGGATATTCTGTTCAAACCTCCTTTTGTGTTGACTTGAAGTTCTCATAGCAAATATGAGATTCCAATGTAAAAACTGAAAGAAGTTGCTGGAAAAGCTCAGCAGGTCTGACAACATCTGTGAAGAAAAATCAGAGTTAATATTTTGGGTCCGGTGACCTTTCCTCGGAACTTCCTCATAACAAATATGAGATTCCAATGTCCTTTGTGTCAAAAGGTGAAGGTCACACTGAAATTAACAATAGTGATGTAATGACTGAGTGTTTGAAGGAATTACCTTGTGGTTTAATTGGTCAATAATACAGGTTAGTGTATATTAAAACTTGTACTGCGTGATTAGAGCAGTGTCAGAGTTATCATCCTGAAATATAATGTGGACATTTGTTCCAACAGGATTTCAAAGGTATGACCCATTGTTATTTCACTTCTACAATTATGGTTCATAGCCAGGCCAGAACAAAAGGTTGAAGGTCTCTGTTACTAGATGGGAGGCTCCTATAAGAAAACACGTCAAAATGCTTAGGGAAGAACATACTAACAACAGAACAGCCCATCATTAACAAAAATTGGAAATGTCACAAGATGAAACACCTAGGATGGTTGATGTGGAAAATGGAAAAAACAATAATCGGTGTAGTGTGTGGAATTTGTATCAAATTGAGAGAAGGATGGAATCTTGGTTGGATATACAAGAGGTTTTAGACTGATTTTACCCAAACTGTATCTGAGCTAGGAACAGTTGATGTTGACTCTTGGTATGAGTTCAATAGTAATCTAATCATCAGCATTCACGGCCATCAACTTGAACTTTAGCAAGAAAACCTATGATAAAAGGAATAGATAAGTGAGGTTGTAGCCGTGCTCGCTGAGCCAGTGGGTTTGGCTGCAAGTGTTTCATCCCCCTGCTACGTAACATCGTCAGTGTGCCTCCAGTGAAGCATCAGTGTTGTGTCCCATTTGCTACTTATATGCCTCGGTTTGCTGGGATGGTTGGTGTTATTTCCGGTTTTGTTTCTCAGTGATTTATACACAGGGTCTAATTCAATGTGTTTGTTGATGGAGTTCCAGTTGGAATACCAGGCTTCCAGGAATTCTCTGGCATGTCTCTGTTTGGCTTGTGCTATTATGAATGTGTTGTCCCAGTCGAATTTGTGTCCCTTGTTCTCTGTGTGTATTGAGACCAGTGAGAATTGGTCGTGTCTTTTGGTGGCTAGTTGGTGTTCATGTATCCGTATTGTCAGTTTTCTTCTGGTTTGGCCTATGTAGTGTTTCTCACAGTCCTTGCATGGTATTTTGTATATAACCCCAGTTTTACTGGTTTTGGGTATGGGGTCCTTTACGTTTGTCAGTAGCTGTCGTAGGGTGGTTATCGGTTTGTGGGCTACTCTGATACCTAGGGGTCTGAGTAGTCTTGTGGTCATCTCTGAAATGTCCCTGATGTATGGTAGGGTGATTAGTGAGTCTGGTCGTGTTGTGTCTTCCTGTTGTGGTCTGTCTCGGAGGTAACAGCGGATTGTGCTTTTCGAGTATCCATTCCTTTTGAAGACTCCGTATACCCAAAACCAGCAAAACTGGAGTAATATACAAAATACCATGCAAGGACTGTGAGAAACACTACATAGGCCAATCCAGAAGACAATTGACAATACGGATACATGAGCACCAAGTAGCCACCAAGAGACACGACCAATTCTCACTGGTCTCAATACACACAGACAACGAGGGACACAAATTTGACTTTGACAACACATCCATAATAGCACAAGCCAAACAGAGACACACCAGGGAATTCCTAGAGGTCTGGTATTCCAACCGGAACTCCATCAACAAACACATTGAATTAGACCCTGTGTACAAATCACTGAGAAACAGAACCGGAAGTACTACCAACCACCCCAGCAAACCAAGGTATATAAATAACAAGTGGGCCAGAATACCAACACTTCACCGGAGGCACACTGATGATGTTACCTAGCAGGGTCATGAAACATTTGCAACGAAACCACTGGCTCGGCGAGCATGGCTACAACCTCATCCACAACTGGAGTTACAAATCATCTCAAAAACTTTAAATAGGTAAGTGACTTTCATTGTTGGTAAATATGCAACAATCTCTTAAGGTAAGTATCTTCTAGAGAAGAAGCTGATATTAAGAATTGCCAACTTAGCTAATATTAGGCAGTGTTTTCAGTGAAGACATTTTCTTTTTCTTATTCATTCATGGTATGTGGGCATACCTGGCTAAGCTCGTCTCTAATTGACCTGGAGAAGACGCTGGTAAGTGGCCAGCCTGAACTGTGGCTATCCTTGGGGTGTAGATGCACCCGCAGTACTGTTTGGGAGGGAGTTCCAGGTTTTTGACGCAGTTACAATGAAGGAATAGCATTACAGTTGCAAGGCAGGATGGTGTGCAGCATGGAGGGGAACTTGCAGATAAGGGATGGTGCCCATGCATCTGCTGCCCTTGTCTTTCATTGTCTTTCTCGGTGGTAGACATCACAGGTTTGGAAGATGCTGTCTAAGGAGCCTTGTTGAGCTGTTGCAGTGTATCTTGTCAATGGTACCACTGTGCTGGTGGTGGTGAAGGGAAAGAATGTGGAATGAGCTGCTTTGTCCTGGATGGTGACAACCTCTTTGAGTATTGATAGAGCTGCATATCTCCAGGCAATTGGAGAGAATTCCATCACACTTCTGGCTTGTACCTTGTGTATGATGGACAAGGCACTGGAGAATCAGGAGGTGAGTTACTTGCTGCAGAATTCCTAGCCTTTGACCTGCTCTTGTAGTGACGGTATTTATATGACAGGTCCAGTTCAGTTTCTGGTCAATAGTAATCCCAGGATGTTGACAAGGGTGAATTCAGTGAGAGGAATGTCACTGAATGTCTAGGTGCATTGGTTAGATTCTCTCTTGTTGAAGCTAGACATTGCCTGGCAGTTGTGTGGCGTGAATGTTCCTTGCCACTTATCAGCCTGGATGTTGTCCAGGTCTTGCTGCATATGAAAGTGAGATGCTTCTGTATCTGACGAGTTGTGCATGATTTTGAACATTGTGCAAAAATCAGCAAATATCTCCAATTCTGACCTTATGTTGGAAAGAAGATCATTGATGAAGCAGCTGAGGATGGGAGGGTCGAGGAAACTAACCTGAGGAACTTCTATCGTAAAGACCCGGGGCTGAGACTGATCTTCAACAACTGCAAACACCTTCCTTTGTATTAGGTATGACTCCAAACAGATGTGCCAACTCTTAAAAAGGCATGGCTGG